CGACCAGCGTTAATTTGAAGGACTCCAGAAATGAATAAATAATTTTACCTAGGATTAATTTTATTACGTATTCTTATTAAATGTTGACTAACATAGTTACGTCCAAACTGTACACCAGTTTAATCCAGATTTCCTCTGATTGGTTAATAAGTTACATTAAGGCCGCGTAACTAGTTCTCGAGCTGTTCAAAATGGCTAGATACATTCCGGACAGACGTGGTATATGAATGTCTTTTATAGATTTAATTTCTAATATGTTCTGTATTCCTGCATCGACGTGATTATACGAGCGAGTATCGCTTATGCAAATGTGTGTCCTTGGGAAAATGGAAATCTGAATACATAGCTATATGTGTGTCTGTTCTCACACGTTTGACACACATCGACGTCTGTCCCACGACAAAAAAAAAAGTTGCTTTTCTTCCGTGTTGCCCAATAAAGGCGAATGAACATATAAGAACTCGTGACAGCAGCCAACCGCTTCCTTAGAGTCCAGGAAAAGAAACCTTTTAAAAATAGTGCCCTAAATAATGCGAGGAGGGAGAGAGAAAAAGAAATGGGCGGAAGTGTTGGTTGAAATGATCGTTCTTATCGCGTCAGACAAAAAGCCGTAAGAATAGAAGAAAATGGAGAAATTATAACAAGTCGAAAGGTGAAAAAATAAAAATGGGAGAGATGGAGAACCGCGAAGCAAAGAGAGAAAGAAGAAATAAAGAAGGAGGAGGAGGAGGAGGAAAGGAGACAAAGAAGAAATAAAGAGGGAATTACAGGAAAGAAAGAAGAAATAAAGAGGGAGATGAAAAGAAAGAAAGGAAGAAATAAAGAGGGAAGTGAAGGAGGAGGAAAGAGACAAAGAAGAAATAAAGAGGGAATTACAAGAGAGAAAGAAGAAATAAAGAGGGAGATGAAAAGAAAGAAAGGAAGAAATAAAGAGGGAGAAGGAGGAAGAGGAGAAGGAGGAGAAGGAAAGAGACAAAGAAGAAATAAGGAAGAAATAAAGAGGGAGGAGGAGGAGAAGGAGGAAGAAAGAGACAAAGAATAAGTAAAGAGGGAAGTACAGGAGAAAAAGAAGAAATAAAGAGGGGGATGAAAAGAAAGAAAGAAAGAAAGGTAGGAGAAGGAGGAGGAAAGAAGAAATAAAGAGGAATAGAGAATAGAAAATAAGAAGTAACTCGGAGAAAAGAGAGAAAGAAACAATAAAGAGGAAAGACGAAAGAGGAAAGAAAAGAGAGAAAGAAGAAATAATTAGGGATTAGGAGAGAAAGAAGAAATAAACGGTGGGGGAGAAAATAGAGAAAGAAGAAATAAAGAGGGAAGAAGAGGAGAGAGAAAGAGGAAACAAAGAGGGAAGACGAATAGAAAGAAGAAATAAAGAGTGGTGAGAAGGAGAAAAGAGACAAAGAAGAAGTAAAGAGGGAATTACAGGAGAGAAAGAAGAAACAAAGAGAGAAATGAAAAGAAAGAAGAAAGAAATAAAGACAGATAGAGAATGGAAAATAAGAAGGAATAAATAGGAGAAAAAAAGCGCAAGGAGAATTAAAGAGTGAAAAAGAGGAGACAAAAGAGGAAGAAGAAATAGAGAGGGTGGAGAGAAAGAAGAAATAAAGACGGGGAGAAAAGATAGAAAGAAAAAATAAAGAAGAAAAAGGAAGAGAAAACAGAAAAAAGAGGGAGAGAAAGAAGAAATAAGTAGGGAAGAGGCAAAGAAAAACAGAAAGAAAAAATGAAGAGGAGGGAGAAAAGACATTAAGAAGAGGGGAGGAGCACACCAGAAAGAAAGACGGAATAAAGAGTGAAGAGAAGAAGAAAAGAGAGAAAGAAGAAATAAAGACGGGTGGGGAGAAGTAGATGGAAACAACTTGAAATAAGAAAACAGCGAAGCATAAAAAGAATGAAAATAAAGAAAAGAAGGAAGTAAAATAAGAAATAAAAGGAAAAAGAATTATGAAAGTAAAGAGAAAAAAGAAGGGGGGCGCTGAAAGAAAAATGGAAATTAAAAAAAGGATGAAAAAGAAGTTTGAAAAGAAAGAAGAGGAAGATGAAAAGATGGAAGAAACGGTACGAAAACTTAACTAAGTTGTGCTTAGGCTGGCACAAGGCCACAATTGGAAAGCACGCATTGAGGAATGTATTCATTACAGTAGCGAATTCATCGATGAGATGATCTTGCAAAGAGATATGTCCGAAAAATATCCAGCTGATTAATATGGCGACAAAAATAGCCTGCCTTGGGAAATAGAAACTTAGACCACTTCAAATTATTCCCATTGGTACCCACCTATTTATTTCAACATCCCTTCTAAATTTCAAAACTGTCTGAATAGTCATCCCTACCTAATCCCATCCTGGGTATGACGATAGACTATATCCGGCAGCAAGGCCTCTGTTCAGGGAAGAAAAGAGAGAAAGCAGAAATAGAGTGGTAGGAGGTGAGAAAGAAGAAATAAGAGAAAAGGAGGTGGGAAAGAGAGAAAGAAGAAATAAAAAGGGAAGAGAAAATAGAGATAGAAGAAATAAAGAGGGGGGAGAAAAGAGAGAAAGAAGAAATAAAGAGGGAAGAAGAGGAGAAAAAAGAAAAATAGAAATGAATAAAAAAGAAGGAAAAGAAATC